TCTGATGACCATCACAAAGGGAATTCACTGCTTTCAAACGGTGGGTAGAGAGGATAGGAAAAAAATGTCATAGTAAGGAGTAGTGAAACCATCGGGTCCCGGTTCCTTGCCAGTCTTAGTTGGTTTCAAGCCAGTCTCCAATTTAGTAGGTGAGATAGAATCTTCTAGGACAACTCTAGAAATAGTGTCCAGGGAGGGAAGACCATGAATGAATGCTGGAGGCAAAGTACATACAAAGTACACCCTGGCCTGGGCCAGGGTGAGCAGAGCACGAAAGGTTGTACAGAGAGGCATAGTAGTCCTTAAAATCTTCTGCAATGTCAGAAGCCAAAGAGTGAATTGCACCCATTGCAGATTTGATAGAGAAGATAAATGTTTTGGCTTGCTGAGAGCAGACCGAGGCCAGGTACTTACTGCATTGATTACTATATTCGTAAAAGTGACATATACATTTCGATAGAGCAGCTTAAGCTTTACATAGGCAGAGAGAACAAAGAGTGTCACACAAATTGAGAAGTGGTACTGTCAGTTCAGGAGTCAAAGTTTTGTTTATGTAACGATTCCAAAGAATGAAAGCATGAGACAGAGTCCTGTATATGCTATAATCGCTGGTGTTTAAGGCGAACTCCTAACTTGATCAAGGTACCCCTGATAAAGAGCTTATGGGGTTCCCAAATTGGGGAGTATGGGGGAGCATTCAGGTGAGGGATTCGTTTCAAAGTAAAAATGCAGATCATTCTCAATTTCAGTGGCACATGCCACATCTTGTAAATAGGATCTCATTGAGACTCCAACTCCATAGATAAAGAGCCGGGTTGCACATCGTCAGGGATCACTGATCACCTCCCGATTTCACTCACTCTATGTCACAATGAGTTACAAAGGAAAGGTTGCTATGATGAATACAAAAAAAGTCAATTTGTGTATGTTTGATGGGAATGGGAGAAGAATGTATAGTCCTGAGAAATGGGCTGGAGGACCCAACAGACATTGCTAAGCTGGCACGAATGGAGTAAGTGTTAAAGACGTTTAAGGGCTGCAAAGGAGAGGAAAGAGGTTGGCCTGGAGGTATCCAAAGGAGGGTTCAGAACCAGGTTGAAATCTTCCACACCAGAAGGGTTCCTTCCTTAAACTTGTCAATAACTGTGAGCACGCCTTTCAGAAAAGAGATTTGATTTTGGTTAGGTAAGTAAATATTAACAAATGTCAGGACTCAGGTCCCAATCTTGCACTTCAAAAGGAAAAGTCTGCTGCCTTCCCTGTTGCAGAATGGAGAAAATGTCAATGTACAAGTACAAGTATATTCGCTCCCCGCAATTTTTTGTCAGGGGAGAAACTATGATATATATGTGGGTAGAAGAAATCCTTCATTGAGGGGTGGTTGTCGACTTTAAAGTGCGTCTCTTGGAGGAACGCAACTTGGGCATTCTGCAAGCGGAGATCATTGAACACCATCCTATGCTTTTCGGATATATTTAGATCTTTGACATTCATAGAGACTACACTGTCATGTTCATAAGCTGACGGATGGGACTTGAAGAAACCAGACAGGAGTAGGTATGAGTGGTGTTGAAGGGCCCCAAAGCCCCTGGCAAAGGAAGGAAAGGTGGGAAAGAATGGGAGAAGAGAGGACAGATGAAAAAGAAAGGAAGTAAAAAAGGGAGAGAGTAAAGGGAAAAAGAAGAGAGGAAAAGAGAAAAGCAAGAAGGAACAAGGAAAAAACAAAATTATGAGCTCAAGCTCAATGTCTGCAAAGCGGTGCCTGATGGACCAGAGGGGACCTAACTAGGTGGGAAACATGTCAGTGCAGGCTAACTGGTTACAATTAGAGGTGCCAGCTGATGCGGAAGTGGATCTACAAATAAACTAATTGTCATAATTTACTGTTAACGTTTGTCTGACTGAGTGAGTAGAGGTAGGAAGTAATGTATGAGGGACAAAAGGGGAAAGAATGTGCTAAGCACAGTGTATGGAGGCTCATAGGAATGAACAGATCACATTATAGCCGCACAAAAGGAAGGAGTAGGGGCAAAACAGGAGAAAGATGTTCAGTACTCTCAGATTGAGATGAGGATAATAGAGGAGGGTAACAGGGGCATCAGCTCCAAAAAAACTAACATTTTGCAGCAATTATAGGGAACAAGTGCAGGACAAAATCAAAGTAACAGGGAAAACAAATTGTGAGAAACGCCTAGGGTATCCGAATAAAACCCAACCCTCCCAAGCTACCCCCCAATGCATCAAATAATTACTCACAAAGATGGTCACAAAAGAGCATTAGCTACTGAGAGAGAATGTAAACACTTTAAACTAGCATAGAAAACAATCCAGAACAAGGTTGAAACACAAGGAGAGGTAACCCTCAGAATATTAAATTCAGAGGTCACAAGTATCGAACAAGTCCCCCACCATTCCTAGATCTAACAGGAAGCAGACATACAGTTTGTTTAAAGCCTGTCTGTCCCAAGCAAAGAGCATAGTAAAGCACAAAGGTGAGGATCAGAGTCCCAACAGTAAAACAAGATGGAAAAATAGTCAAGCACTCGCAAAGGTAACAATACCAGAGGCTCTGATAATCCAGGGAAATACATGATGAGGAAGGGTGGATCCTCTTCCAAGGTAGGAAGGTGGGGGAAGTTTAACATGGAGGAAGAGGAGTTCATCTCCAGCAGAAAAAGATTTGTTTTCCATGCTTTGTACCACCGGCAATCTGATGAAGTAGGGCACAGGGGGAGTGAGAGGAGTGTTCAATCTGTTAAGGCTGTGCGTGGTGCATGGCCATCATGTTTCCCCCCCCCCCCCCCCGGGAAACCGTGAGGCGCAGCATGATTGGCACCCCTAACATACTCTTAGTGGAAGCTGGTCACCATCTGAAATGTGGCAGAGCAAGTTGTTAATGGTAAGAAGATCAATGGACAAGAAATCACAGTCCTGGGGCATTCAATGGTCTACAGACCACAAAAGATGAGTCCCCTTTGTGAACAATTAAGTGCAGTGGGTAACCCCAATGATAAGAGGCTCCTGCTTAACTGATCTTATCCAGGAGGAGAGGTAGGAGTGCATGATAGGTCTGGCAGGATCTGTAAAGGGGCCCTATTGAATTCTATCAGGCGTTTCTCCCAGGCCTTACAAAAGAGCTTCTCCTTTAGAGTGAAATAATGGAGCCTGCATACTATGTCCCTCAGCCTCTGAGGTTCTAAGGTGTGCTGTCCGAGGGTGCGGTGGACCTGGTCCAAAAGAATATCTTGCAGGGAAATGTTGTCAAAGAGGGAGCTCAGGATGGCCTGCACCTTGGAGTGCAGGTGGTTTGCGGGTGTAGCCTCCGGAGACCACTAATCCGCAGATTATTTCGCCTACTACTGTCCTCCAAATCTTCACGTTGTAATTGTTGAGCCGCCTGACAAAACGGAACAGGAGTCTTTGGCTCTTGCTGAGTGGTCAGTCTAGTCTCTAAAGAGGAAAATGATGTAGCAACCTCCCGGACCTCCTCAGACAGGTGTTGCATGTCATGATGGAGATTACTGGCATATTGTTGAAAACCATTAGCAGGAGTATTGCAGGAGCGTCCGGAATTCAAGAGACACGTACGAAGGTAAGGACGATGGGTCCAAGGAAGAGACCAGGCAAAGCAGAAACACAGCTACCTAGGGAGCAAGGGTCTTGGCTTGGCTCAGTCACTGCAGGTGAGGGGGATCTACTTGGATCCCGGGGTGAATTTTGTTGAGCACTTTCTGGCGCCATCTTGGAGGACACCTGGGTCTTGGACGGCAGAGATTTTTGGTTTGCAAAACTGGTGGATATCGGGATCTTGAGAAGATGAGGTGGTGTCCATCAGCTTCTGATGACTGGGCAGATTATTCAATGATAAAAATAAATTGGTATATAGGCCGGTATATAAGCAGATATTAAAGCCGGAACCTGGGAGCACTCACCAAGTATGTGCTACGCCGGCATGCTCCGTGACTGAGTGCCCGACTTTTCAGAAGGGGTCAAGCAAAACAAAACGTTCCTGTGCCTTTAAGGGAGGTTGGTCTTCCTCCTGACAGACCTGCACCCAATTTTATCTTCTGACCCATGTGCTCCAAGATGGAGACTCTCATAGTTTAGAGTTAGGAACGCACTATAAGAGGTGCCTTGGTGCCTTTCACATTTTCTGCAGAAGACGTGTATCCAAACCTCTGTTTTTAACCCGAGTGGTGAGACAAGTTTTTTACATGCTAGCTTGGGAGTGTGCCAGGAAAACTTTTTGCTGTTTTTAGAAGGGGTGACACCAAAATGGTTGTCAGCCATTTTGGTGTCACCCACTATTATGGCGTCACACGGTGCAGGCCGCACCCCCCCCCCTTGTGACGCCACTGACAAAACATCTAGCCTGCCAGAATTTGTAGACAGATCTCTTCATAAAAATGCAAATGCCAAGTGTGACTGAAACCGTAAACATTTTAAAAAATGTCAAAGCATCTCAAGAGCACATGAAAGCATAGTGTGTTTGACTTCTGAAGACTGTGCACACAATTTGCTCTCTTGTCCTTGACGTGTTGTTTTACAGTTTTATTAAACCATATTGGTTTAGTCTTTGATCTTAGTAGTGGCCCCAAATCCTAAGGACGATTTACAGGGCTAGTTAGTAATCAGTGAGTCTTTTTTCAAGTGGGGTAAAGAAGGTGGTGCAGGATACTGTATATATACAACACAAAAAGCTGTATTTGCATCACTGGCATACTTAATCCAAACAGCATTCAAAATATTGAAGCAAAAGTGTCTGCCTGACAGCCAAGCAACGTGCATTTTCAGAAGGACAAGAGGAACCTGCCATGTTTCCTTTAACTTATGCTTAACTTTGACAGCAAATACTTGTTTGTGACTGGGCTTAACTTTCTCTGCCAAGAGAGGTTTAAATATAAGACTGCTTTCACGGTTTAAATTTGTGGCACCAGTAAGAAATTGTTATTTGAACAGCAGCTTTCATACAAACATATTTGAGTGAAACATTACCTTGGTTATTCATCAGGGTCATAACTGAGAATTGGACCAAGCCATTTTTCAACCTCTTCCACTGTCAAATTTTTCCTATGTGAATAATCTTCAACCTAGAACAGATCAACAGATAGATAATTGAATAGGACACATTCATGACAAATTCATTCCTTCATAAAAGTGAAGGGTCCTAAACACAATAAAAAAAAGCAATGAGAAGCAATAATCCACTAGCATCCAGTGACAGAACAGCTTTTATCAGGCAAATGATGAGTATTTTATGACTGGTTTGTGAGAGCTACTTCAAAAGAGCTAGCAATACTCTCAATTTCAATAGTTGTTACTCTGTATCATAAGTACAGAAATTGGTCTCACACATGATTTTATAAGCAACAATACTTCATAGTAGGAGCACTTGTTTACCCATTTCACGACTAGAGCAATTTTTAAAATTTTTGCACACATTATATGTCCATGATAAAAATCTTCTGTGTCCAGAAATCTCAGATCATCCCTTCCCGGGTAAGTGTATAAGTAAACCAAACATGTCTTCCAGAAGTACTCTAGTATTATTAAAGAACTTATTGGGTCATCATATATAAGAAACACAGAGTAATGTTCATAGGGTAAAAAAAAATTTTTATTACTTCGCATATACATAGTTAGTTAGGTTGAAAAACGACACGACAAGTCCATCAAGTTCAACCTATAGAGATATGGAGGAGAAAAAAAGAGAAGAAAAGCCTAAACAGAACGCTATGCCCACAGTTACCCCCTGTTGATCCAGAGGAAGGCAAAAAAACCCTATAAAGCATGGTTCAATTTGCTCCAACAGGGAAAAAAAATTAAAGAATCCTTTCCGTATGCTAAGGTTAAACCTCTTTTCCTCCAGACGCAAAGAGTCCCCCCTTGTCCTTTGCAGTGACCTTAAAGTGAATAATTTGGCACCAAGCTTGCTATATGGACCATTTATGTATTTATACATGCTGATCATGTCCCCCCTTAATCGCCTCTTCTCCAGAGAGAACAAATTCAGGTCAGTTAATCTTTCCTCATAGCTGAGCTCCTTCATACCTCTTATGAGTTTACTTCGCTGCACTTTCTCCAGTTCCACAACATCTTTTTTGTGAACTGGTGCCCAAAACTGAAGTGCATATTCCAGATGAGGTCCTACTAATGCTTTGTACAGGGGCAGGATTATGTCTCTCTCTAGAGTATATATAAAACAAATGCACTTATACGATACTCTATGTAATCCAGCATATAATAAAAAAACAGATGAGAAAGGTTTCCGACAAAAAGTCCCAGTATCAGCAAACCCTTCTCGATTTGTTTCATCAATCGTGAGCAGTGTTTGCTGATTTGCAATATCCCATTTATATTTATTATAGGACTCAGAAAGCAGAAATTGCCCCTCATTGGCGGAGGAGGAAAAACAGGCAGGAAGCCCTATAATGGAGATAAATATAAATAGGATGTTGTAAATCAACACACAATGTTCTTGATAAAGTAACAATTGATGAAATGCCTTGAGCAGGGTTGTCAGATACCAAGACTTTTTGTGGAAACCTTTCTAATCTGTTTAAGTGTTTTTTATTATATGCCGGATTACATGGAGCATCATGTAAGTGCATTTGTTTTTATTTATGCAGTGTATTAATGTTTTTACCCTATGAACCTTTCTCTGTGTTTCTTATGCACTATATTGCCAAAAGTATTGGGACGCCTGCCTTTACATGCACATGAACTTTAATGGCATCCCAGTCTTAGTCCGTGGGGTTCAATAGTGAGTTGGCCCACCCTTTGCCGCTATAACAGCTTCAACTCTTCTGGGAAGGCTGTCCACAAGGTTTAGGAGTGTGTCTATGGGAATGTTTGACCATTCTTCCAAAAGTGCATTTGTGAGGTCAGGTACTGATGTTGGACGAGACAGCCTGGCTTGCAGTCTCCACTCTATTTCATCCCAAAGGTGTTCCATTAGGTTGAGGTCAGAACTCTGTGCAGTCAAGTTCCTCCACCCCAAACACACTCATCCATGTCTTTATGGACTTTGCTTTGTGCACTGGCGTGCAGCCAGATTGGAACAGGGAGGGGCCATCCCCAAACTGTTCCCACAAAGTTGGGAGCATGAAATTGAATGCATCAGCATACCAAGACATTTTGGACAGAGTTCCCTTCACTGGAGCTAAGGGGCCAAGCCCAACACCTGAAAAACAACCCCACACCATAACCCCCCCTCCACCAAACTTTACACTTGGCACAATGCAGTCAGGCAAGTACCGTTCTCCTGGCAACTGCCAAACCCAGACACGTCCATCGGATTGCCGGACAGAGAAGTGTAATTCCAGTGGCAGCGTGCTTTACACCACTGCATCCGACGCTTTGCATTGCACTTGGTGATGTAAGGCTTGGATGCACCTGCTCGGTCATGGAAACCCATTCCATGAAGCTCTCTACGCACTGTTGTTGTGCCATTCTGAAGGGCACAGGAAGTTTGGAGGTCTGTAGCTATTGACTCTGCAGACAGTTGGTGACTTCTGCGCACTGTGTGCTTCAGTATGTGCTGACCCTGCTCTGTCATTTTACGTGGCTTACAACTTCGTGGCTGAGTTGCTGTTGTTCCCAGTTGCTTCCACTTTGTTATAATACCACTAACAGTTGATCGTGGAATATTTAGTAGCAAGGAAATGTCACAGATGGACTTATTGCACAGGTGGCAACCTATCATGGTACCACGCTTGAATTCACTGAGCTCCTGAGAGCGACCCATTCTTTCACAAATGTTTGTTTAAGTTCTTTATTAATATTTGAGTACATAGTCCGATGGTCCATGCGAAAGTGATCTTTAGACCTGAGTAGATAGTTACTAGGTTAAATCTCATCTGGGTGATTTGCACAGAGAGGGGAGCACATTGGTGTGTGTTTCTGGACACTGTGAAGATTTTTATGGACATATATTGGGGACAAATCATAACAACATCACACTGGTTTATCTGCGTGCACAAGTTATTTATTTGATTAAGGACATGCACATGGGCACATTCTAACATTGTGGGTACATGATTTGTATGCACTTATTTATTTTGTTTGGATATTGGCAGATTAGGAATAGTTTTTAGTGATATGTAACATGTGTGGCGCAATTGTCATTTTTGCGCATAGGTGCATTTAACACGTTTGTATGTGCGTTTACCGTGGGGGGGTGCCTTTAACTTGTTTTTGTGTTTTTTATATGTTACTTTCATTTTTAAACTTTTTTTTTTACACTTGACTTTATTGCTAGAACATCAGCTAGAACAGAGTGTTCTGCCTTAGCAGGCGAAATAATTGGTTTACCTACCTTCAATATCAAAATCGGCCACAAGATAAAGCTAAAGAGAAAACACCTCTGTTTATAGCAGCTTAGACTGATTTACTTTAATTTAAAAAAAAAATCCCAACATCCCTCTGCCCAAAACAAGTGCATTTTGGGAGTTTAGCCTCCATTTTAGGAGAAGAGAATCCACTGCCATCTACAGCACGTCTAGAAGAAAGACCCCAAATCCCTCTTAGGCAGCATCACTGGTATGGATGGACTTTTTTCTTTCTGTATTTCTGAGCTGACACTACATTTACATGTTTTGTAAACTAGATGTATCTTTCTATGTTCTTTTTTTACCAGTTTTACTCCACCCTGTTTTGATAATAAAGCATCAAGATTTCACTCAGTCTGGCTTATTGCAGAATAGCTGTTTAGCTGCATGTTTAGCTGCATGTCGAGTTATACACAGACCATAGGGTACATGTAATGGGGCAGAACACAAAGGATGTGACAAGTCCTTTTTATGGAGATATCAAAGAACTATTAGACCTCTAATGTAACCTATGGACCCACTGAAGCGGATTAAGCACAGACTGTGCTTCACCAGCCTTTTCTCCGGTCACAGCAGCTGGCAAAATGACAGCCTGAAACAGGAACTGGTAATATCCTGGTCGCTTCTGGGTTCAGTAACCGCAGAGGTCAGATACTGAATGTGGGCGGACCTCTCTTCGGTCAAGCCGCAAACACCTGCCATACCGGGACATGCCATGGGTACTGGGACAATGAACAGTGGAAAGACAGTAGAGCCGGGGATACATGGCAGCAAGGGGGGGGCAGGAGGGTTACTTTTATTTTCTGAAAGCAGAGACCCTGTAGAATAAAATGGTGGCACAAAATGGTGGCAGTTACAATTGTATATGATGTTCATTATATTAGCACAACTGTGTATCAAACCCAAATTTCCAGTAAAAAAAATACACAAGTTAACTTTGTTGTACATAAACACACTATATAACCCAATTTTATTGGGTATAATATAAAAGATGAGGTTGTACTGAGTATATGGATACCAGACATGTCAAGCTTCAAAATTTTGTGCACCCATTGAAACTACGCTACTCAAAATCCTCTATAGGTGACACTTTAAACGCTTTTCACGGTGATCAATTTAGAGATATCCATGATTAATAGCCCTTGGATTATTTGCTGCACGCAGCGGATACCTCACATTTGTGGTGCGATTGTCGTTTTCGCACCCATGTGTTTGTATTAGTATGTGCATGGGGGTGGGGGACTTTTACAACATTAGTGGTGACAGGAGACATTAGGGGTCTGTTAGAGGGTGCACATTTGGCAGTCTGTGGGAGTGATTGGGAGACTTTACAGCCACCCAAATCATTTCCAGTGTAAAGCCAATAGTCGGCCTGCAGTCTGCTTACAAGGACCCTCAGCCACCGACATATGGCATATATCGGTGGCAGTGAAAGGGTAAAGGAGAACTGAGATGAGAAATATGGCATGTTGTATGCTGTGCATTCTGGCAAACTTACTTTGAGTTTGCCCTGTTTTAGCAATGACACCTCTTTGTTCCCTTTGTCTTTTGACAACTGCCAGTGTCATTCTTGCAAAGGCTTTTTTAACTGCTGGCATCTTCCTCCTTTGGCCTTATATGTCTAAAGATGATGCCCCTCCCAAGCATGTGCAATAGAGTTGCAGCTGCCTGGCACTAGGCTCTTCAGATGGCATACTACAGACTGCACTGTAAATCAGGCAGTTAATCAACAACTGCTAGCAAAAAACATAAAGGATTTTTTTTTGCCAAAAGAGACATAGATAAAATCTTCTACCAAAAAAAATATATGCTCACTACCAATTACTTCTTTCTGAGTGCAGTATTATTTAAAAAAGAGTTGTTCTTTGCCATTTCAGCTTGTCACATAAAACGTATTATATAAAGTGCTGTTGTGCTGAATAATAATAATATCAAAGTCCTTAAATTACAGTCCATAGAACTGCAGGGCTCAGCCTGTTTTTCCTTTTACATAAAGTGCTACAATATAACGTCCTAGCGTTCTCTTTTCTTCACCTGTAGACACTTGCTCCCAAAGAAACCACCATAAATGTGTAATTTTGACTAAATGCGTCAGCTGGAGATTTATTTATTTAGGTTGGAATTGATAGAGCGATATTTCATAGTGCTATTGAGCACTTAGTCAATATGAGTGTGATTGTATCTATAATTTATGTATTTCAAACAAGTGGAATTACATGATTAATTATTACATGATTAAGCCTATCTGGTGGAACGCGTGAGATGCTATAGGATCGGTGTGGGATAATTTTACTGTGTGCTTGGAAGGTGTGGACTTTCAATTAATCTGATTTTTTTATGAGCTGTTGAATGTGTGGCTCTACGTTGCAATTTCAGAATGGAATGATATGGTTAGCTCGGAATTCAGCGTCATTTTATCACATGGGAGAAGAGGTTTGAAGTATAAAAATAAAGATTTTAGTGACCACAATCTCTGTAATGGGGAGTAGGACATGGAGGAAATGACCAATCCTGCAAGCGGATGACAGAATGGAGCAGTGAAATAAAGCACATTTACGTAGTGGGGTGTACATTAATTGGTGAGTGACCAATTTTGAGAAACCTTTGCCCATTTATGGTGATTTCTTTGGGAGCACGTGTAACTAAGTGAAGGAGCATACTAGAGCTTTATATTTTAGCACCTTCTGGATAGAGAAGACAGGCAAAGCCTTGTAGTCCTACACACGATTTAAGGGCTTTGATGCTGTTATTTTGGTGATTCAGTTTGTATAGTGATTAGGATTTTGGTTTATTGTGTATTTTATTTTTGTTTATATATTTCTTGTTGATTGCTCTTTATATAAAGGATATCTGTTGATACATGTGGGGATTCACAATTTAGATGGTCACTTAGGTTTGTATGTAGGTAGTTAACTAGGGCCACTCCAGAGAATATATTACACACATGCTTTTATTGGCACTTTATTAACTGCAGAAGCTATTATTTAGGTGTATTTATCATCTAAAATAGCGCTTCAGATATTACACATTTATAATAAAACTTACCTGATCTTTACCAATTTTTCCAACAGAAAAATATTTGGATACTGGACTAGAAAACATTAAACCAGAGACTGCAGCAGCTGGTGACATTGCAAGGGATTCTGTGAGCTTTATACCTACAATAAACAGAACCGCAAAACCTGAATTATTACTTTTCTGTATCACTTTGTACTGCTACTTTAAACTATTCTGAAAAAGGTTCTGAATTACACATATTTATATACACATATTATATACATTTTATTCACCGTCAAATTGATTTCTCTGCGTTAATTAAAGCACACAAAAAAATTAAGCTCCGCTCTGAGGGCAGCACCTGCTGGTGGCTGCACCCCCATCCACTTGAGGCAACTCAGTTAGTCACAAAGCAGTAAAACAGAGGCACTAGAACCAGATAGGGGAGAGTGCTCTGTCCTTTAATGAATGCAGAAAAAAAGGATTTTACGGTGAGTACAAAAAAAAATCCTATTTCTCTTTCGTTCATTGAAAGACACAGCGGAGATCTTGATCTTGATTTTTGAACTGATGGGACATCCCAAGCAGTGTCTGAGAGGCAGGAATATGAAACTCAAAAACAAACCAAAAACAGGCCCCCACACAACTAAACAGCTGTCTGTAAAACTCTGTGACCAAAAGAGGCATCCACAGATGCAACATCAATCTTGTAGAAACAAGTAAAGGTGTTTACCGATGACCAGGTAGCCGCCTTACAAACTTGAGTAGCAGATGCCTGATGACAAAAAGCACATCAATTACTAACTGCTCGAGTAGAATGAGCTGTACCTGGAAAAAAGCAGAGATTGGCCTTTAACCACTCCCCGACCAATGATGGGATTATTCCGTCATGATCGCTCAGTTCATTAACGACCGGTGATGGAATAATCCCGTCATGCGGTACAATGAGCGCTGGTCTGTGGAGGGACCTGCGCTCATTGAGCTACTGCTGTTGCTGGTTCCCTCAGGGTTGCAAGCAGACCCTCAAAAGCAGATTGGGTGGTCCCAGCACTGTGATCACTGCGATGAGTAATCGCAGTGATCACAGTGCTGTGACAGCCACTGAGCCGGCTTGCAGCTCACTGTGTTGTGGAGCTGCAAGCCAGCTCAGTGTGTTACAAACTGATGCAAAGTATCTCTGAGTATCAAAGCCTAAGTATCAAAGCCTCTGTAAATAAAAAAAATAGCCCCTTAGTGCTCCCTAGTTTAAAAAATAAAATAAAACAAAGTTTTAAAATTTGTAAAAGAATTTTAAAAAGTACATTTTTTTTTACAAGATAAGTTCAATTAAAAAAATTATGAGAAAATATAGTGCCGAGGAGGCTATTAAAGTTTGGAGACAGACATACAACATTCTAAAATTGTTTCAAACTAAAATTGTATTTCACTCCTGGTATTTTGTGACCTATAACTCCCAAAATGAAAACTGAAATCCCAGACATATGATATACTATAAATAAATCCTATAAATCAGGACAAATACAAGAATTTATTATGAATTACTATCTGTTAGCTACACTAATTATGTATACATTATTATTGCCAAAACTGTGAAACATGTGGGTTTTTTTATTTTTATTTTTTTTTGTACTTGTTATTAAAAAAATAAAAATGTATATATTCATATGTCACATCAAATTAAATTTTGTCCTATAAAAAATAGTATATATGTGTAGGTGCAACTAATGAGGAAGATGGAAAATATGGTTAAACAAACACATAGCAAAAAGTTCCGGTCCCCAGGAACGAAAAAAAAAATTCTGAAGCTGTGTCACTAAGGGGTTAATGGCATAAGCCTTGACAATAACCGGCCTTATCCAAAGAGATATGGTAGCTGCTTCCCCTTTCCACAGATGCTCAAAAACCACAAAAAGAGTGTCCATATTACAGAAAGATTCAGTAGTAGACAAATAAATTGGCACGGTTCTAACCACGTCCAGACAGTGAAGAGCTATTTCTTCGGGATGTGTCAGTTGAGGTCAAAATGAAGAAAGTTAATTAAACTTTCATTAAACATAAAAGGACATTTCCACATTTGTAAGTGATTTTGAGTTTTTGGTGGTAATGTGGAAGTGCAGGGGGGATGTACATGTGTGTGCATTCTCAGGAGTCACAGGGCTGTTTTGCATACTTTATTTTATAGATTATTTTACAGGCCAGAGGCCTAGAAGTTCAACATTCCCTCCACAATATCTTCAATCCGTCTCTCTCAGAGGGTCCGGTTGTTATCTCTAAATCAGCTGTTTCTCCCCTTCTCCCCCTCCCCTCTGAGAGAGCAGAGATGAGTCATCAGCACAGCTTCCCAGAGCCCCTGTGTTAGAATATCCTGTCATTTGTCCTGTTCTATAGACTTCTCTCTGTGTCCTGTGTCTCTCAGCTCTCCCCCTTATCCTGGGTCACATTTACTCTCTGCTGCCCCAAGTCCAGGTTCCCCAATGCCCCCCCTCCCTTCCCCCCACCATTCTTCTCATTTACAGATATGACTGCTAGAACAGATAAAAAGACATTGGGGGGTAATTGATCAAAATTGGAGCAAACAGAATCTGGAGCCATTACCCATGGCAACCAATCAGCTTCTCTCTTCAGTTTTTTTTCCAAGTAAGATTTTAAAATGAAAGATAGAAGCTGATTGGTTGCCATGCACAGCTGCTCTAGATTTTGCCTGCTACCAGGCATGTGCGGGGTCACCAGATATTGTGCGCGGTCACCGGAGATTGTATGGTGTTACCGGGCATGTGCGGTGTCACCGGGCATGTGCGGGGTCACCAGGGATTGTGCGGGGTCACCAGGGATTGTGCGGGGTCACCAGTGATGTGTGGGGTCACTGGAGATTGTGCGGGGTCACCAGGGATGTGTGGGGTCACTGGAGATTGTGCAGGGTCACTAAAAATTGTGCGGGGTCACCAAAAATTGTGTGGGGTCACCAGAGATTGTGCAGGGTCACCAGAGATTGTGCAGGGTCACCAGAGATTGTGCAGGGTCACCAGAGATTGTGCAGGGTCACCGGGGATGTGCGGGGTCACCAGACATTGTATGGTGTCACCGGGGATGTGCGGTGTCACTGGGCACAAAAAAATTGTCACAAAAACCAAGATGGCTGCCACATCATGTGACCTATGACCTTTCTATTATAATAGGTTCTGCAGAGCACAGGGCTGTAGCATTGTGCAAAGTTTCATGAGTTTTTGACTTACAGAGCACTTGTTAGAGGCATTTGAAAAAAGCGGCGGAATAAGAATAATAATAAATATAGCTGCAAGCAGCAATAAAGGTGGCCAAGCAGTAGAGTTGGTCATAGCACATGAGAAGATATTTTAGTTAGAGAGATTAAAAAAAAAAGGACATGATTTTATGAATTATATTTAAAAAAATCACATTCAAAATGGCTGAAAGAAAAAGAACAAACGTGTGGGCGCAAAGCTGAAGGGGCTATATGGCTAAGTGAGACATTGTGAAAGAAAAACAGAGGGAGATGTAGCACTTACTTTGAGTGGATCTTAGGACCAGATGGGGACCGGTCTGTGGGGAGGATCGTGAAATCCGAGGTGTGTATTCAATGAGGACTGGTATGCTGCCTGAGGCTGTTCATCTCGAGGAGGGAAGCGATGGTGCAATGGTGAGAAGAGAGGAGAGGGGTGGACGGGGGAGTGGCACACAAATTTCGTCCGTGTCACCGCTGCTATGATGGGGAGTGCAGGCGATGTGCGGGGTGGCGTCTGGCTGGGCTGCAGCTGCAGGTGGAGAGGCTCGATCTGTGTGTGGGCCGAGACTTGGCCAGTGCCCAGGCCGTGAAGATGATGTTGGATGAAAGGTCGGCCGGGATGAAGGTGGGGTAAAGGAGGTCAGGTCAGTATGGTCGTAGGTGGAGGTTCGGGAGCAACACGTTTCGAGGATACAACCTCTTTATCAAGCCCTATTCATCCAACATCATCTTCACGGCCATTGAATACACACCTCGGATTTCACGATCCTCCCCCACAGACCGGTCCCCATCTGGTTCTGAGATCCACTCAAAGTAAGTGCTACATCTCCCTCTGTTTTTCTTTCACAATGTCTCACTTAGCCATATAGCCTCTTCAGCTTTGCGCTCACACGTTTGTTCTTTTTGCTTCACAAGCACAGGTACTCCTCCTGTCTCCCAGGGCCGCAGGCTAGGTAGAGCTACTTAATTAATTTCCCCAGGTCCAATCCGAGAGCGCTGTCCGTGCTAATTTTGTTTGATTCAAAATGGCTGCCGACCTTGGTGACCTCTGGAAGCCATATTGTATTTGGCAGTTATGATGTTGAGTTATCATATGTATAACATGTTTAACATACTTCACTAGTGATATAAATGCACATTTATGCAATTTGATGCAATGTCAAAAAGTGATTGGCTTGTGGCGGCCATATTAATTTTGGGATCGGGCCTGGTTTTACAACCGTGGTAGAAGAGGTAGCCATTGACATATGTGCAAAGTTTTGAGTTATTCTGAATAATAGAATAACTCAAAATAGTTTCAGAGTTTAAGTTGTTTGCAGAATATTGCACCATCCAAAATGGCTGCCAAACCATGCGGTCACATGACTTGTAATAAACACATATGACTGGAGAACTCAGCTTATCCTCACATATTAATTTGTATATCTGTAGTCTTAGCGGTTATGAAAAAACAGATGTTTGAAAATTGTCAGAAATAGGTTTGCTTATACCATGTGACCTATGACCTTTATGTTTCCAAGGTTTAAACACAGCACAGTCCTCCACAATTGTTCTAAATGTCATGAGTTTTTACATAACGGTGTGGCAATAATTAGCATTTGAAAAAAAAGGGCATCAAAATAATACAATTATTTGTCGAATTTGACACAATTCAATATGGCCGCCGAAACATGTGGTCAATTGACATGTAATGATCAGTTGTGAATGCATATCATACCATGACTATACACAGCAATTTGTAGATCTGTAGCTTTATCAGTTTCTGAGAAACAGATGTTTGAATATGGAGCTGAATATAATTACCTAAAACAAGATGGCTGCCAGGCAATGTGACCTATGAGCTTTATGTTGCAAATGTTTGGGCATAGCACAGAGCTCTACCATTGGGCCAAGTTGCATCAGTTTGTGAGTAACATTGCGCTTATAACAGGCTTTTGGAAAAAAGGGCATACCAATAATAACACTATTCAAACATGATTGGGTTGCAGCGGCCATTTTAATTGTGGGATTGGACCTATTTCTACAACCGTGGTAGACATGTCCCCCCTGGACATATGTGCAAAGTTTGGAGTTAGTCCGATAAATGGTTTCCGAGTTTAAGTTGTTGACAGAATATTGCACAATCCAAAATGGCGGCCAAACCATGTGACCAATAGAGCTATAATGGGCACATGTGGCAACAGAGCAAAGCATAAACTCACAGAGCAAGTTGTACATCTGTAGCTTTAGCGGTTTTTGAGTTTTTTTTACTTATAGAGCACTTGTTACCTGCATTTGAAAAAAGCGGCGGAATAATAATAATAATAAATATAGCTGCAAGCAGCAATAAAGGTGGCCAAGCAGTAGAGCAGGTCATAGCACATGAGAATATAGTGTAGTTAGAGGGATAAAACAAAAAGGACATGATTTTATGAATTATAAAAAAAATCAAATTCAAAATGGCCGCCGACCTTGGTGACCTCTGGATGCCATATTGTATTGGGCAGTTATGATGTTGAGTTATCATATGTATAACATGTTTAACATACTTCACTAGTGATATAAATACACATTTATGCAATTGGCTGCAATGTCAAAAAGTGATTGGCTTGTGGCGGCCATATTGATTTGGGGATCGGGCCTGGTTTTACAACTGTGGTAGAAGAGGTAGCCATGGACATATGTGCAAAGTTTGGAGTTATTCTGATAAATGGTTTCAGAGTTTAAGTTGTTTGCAGAATATGGGACAATCCAAAATGGCTGCCAAACCATGAGGTCACATGACTTGTAATAAACATATATGATTGCAAAGCTTAGCATAATGACACATATGAATTTGTATATCTGTAGCATTAGGGGTTATGAAAAAACAGATGTTTGAAAATTGTCAGAAATAGGTTTGCTTAAACCAAGATGGCCGCCATAGCTTGCAACCTATGTTCTTTATGTTTGTAAGGTTTAAACACAGCACCGTTCTCTACCATTGGGCCAAATTTCATGAGTTTTTACATAACGGTGTGGTAATAATTTGCATCTGAAAAAAAGAGCATCAAAATAATAGAAAAATGTGTCGAATTTGAAACAATTCAATATGGCCAGTTGTGAGTGCAGATCATAGTATAACTATACATAGCAATTTGTACACCAGTACCTGTAATAGTTCCTGAGAAACAGATGTTTGAATATGGAGCTGAATGTCGTCACCTGGAACAAGATGACTGCCAGGCAATGTGACCTATGACCTTCATGATGCAAAAGATTCGGCATAGCATACAGGGGAAACTTGAATAATTAGAATATTGTGCAAAAGTTCATTTATAGTACTTGGTTTGGGCCCCTTTTGCAGCAATTACTGCCTCAATGCCGCGTGGCATGGAAGCCATCAGCCTGTAGCATTGCCTAGGTGTTATGGGTATCTCATATATTAGTTTCACCTTTTAAGTTGCATTAGTGAAATAAATGAACTTTTGCACGATATTCGAATTATTCGAGTTTCACCTGTAGAGCTCTACCATTGGGCCACGCTGCATGAGTTTATGAGTAACAGTGTGTCTATTACAGGCTTTTGACAATATGCCATAATAATAATAATAATAACACTATCTAAATACCATTGGCTTGCAGTAGCCATATTGATTTTGGGATCGGGCCAGTTTCTACAAACGTGGTAGAAGAGGTTGCACTGGACATATGTGCAAAGATTTGAATAATTCTGATAAATGGTTTCAGAGTTTAAGTTGTTTGCAGAATATTGCACAATCCAAAATGGCTGCCAAACCATGTGACCAATAGAGCTATAATGAACACATGAGATAACAGAGCACAGCATAAGCTCACACATCAATTTATACATCTGTAGCTTTAGCGGTTCTGGAGAAGTTGCAAAAACCAAGAAGGCTGCCATATCATATGGCCTATGACCTTTATATTGTAATAAGCTCTGCAGAGCACAGTGCTCTACCATTGTGCAAAGATTCATGAGTTTTTGACTAACAGTGCACTTATTACAGGCATTGGAAAAAGTGGCGGAATAATAATAATACAAATTAACAGATACAATAGGTGTCCTTGCAACTTCGTTGCTTGGCAACCTAATGAAGGTGAAGGTTAGGAGGTGTTAGGAACTGTTAATATTTGATGCACTATGGATTAGTTTGCATTAAAATTTGTGTAATGTTGTTTTTACCATAATTTGTAACATAATATAAAATATATATTTTTTTAAATGTGTTCTCTTGGGATAATGTTACAGAGCAAAAGCTCCAAATGATCATAATCATACAGTATACTTTTTAACCAGTTGCCGTCCGCCCGTAGAAAAAAAACGGACGGACGGCTGACTCGCATCAGCGGATTGCCGTCTCCAGACGACATTTATTTCCTGCGCGCGCACACGGGCAGGAAAGACCCGCTCGTTTTTACAGCCGTTAACGTTACAGCCGTTTCACATACAACCGATCAGCGGCTCTATAGCCGCCGATCGGTTGTATGGCGTGATTTTTTTTGCCCCCCCCCCCTCTGCTTCATCAGCTTTTTTGGGGGCCCCCAGGTCTCCATAAAGAGGACCTGTCAGTGTGCCTTTGCTAATATATAGGGGGATTGTA